TCATCATTTTTTGTCTCAGATTAAAATTAGTTTTTTTCTGGTTTAAATGACAATTGTATAAGATGCTGCTTTGCAATCTCGTGGGCAAATAGGTTTTTGGGGATTGCCACAATGTGGGCACATTTAGTGATATGGTTGTGCCTTTTTCACTTTTCATTCACTACTGGCTTTTCTTTATCAGCATATGCACCATTAATTGGGACCAGGTCCTCCTTGAAACCATATCTTTGCTTTCCCATTCTTTCCTTTATCCCAGTTCCCAATCATCCTAATGCAATACAGTGTAAAAAAGATGATTTTACCAACCACGTGGACTAGGCAGAAACAGTAGATTTGAATTGACAGTCAATTATCAAAGTATGACATCTCAGGAATGTTAAAATTCCTAACGTGAAAGTATCTCAGACATTTTCTTAAATTTTGAGATGGGGAAATTTTGAGTTAGATGTTCTTTCTTGCTCTGTTTTGGAGAGAAATTAAATCTTATTCTTTCATTGATTGATTGATTGATTAATATTTGACTATCAGGGAGTTGTTTTCAACTGAAAAGAATGGAGGGTGGTTCTATAAGGGATTTCTAATGCTCTCCCTGTGTCTCTTATTCATTCATTCATTCATTCATCCATCCATCCATCCATCCAATCTCCCTCCAACCATTGCTACAATAGATGAAGATCTGCAAACTAGAAAGGAATTGCACATCATATCTCTCCAGTTCAAATTCCCTATAAAGCATATTTGGGAGTGGTAGTACAATTTTTAGTGAGCACTTAATGATAAATTGTTTTCAGAAGCTTCGTTCAATGTTTCTCTTGTTCTCTGAAGAATAAATTAGGCATAACCAGAATAGTCAATCATATGCGAAAAGAGAGACACTGACAATTTCACATATTGCACTTTTCAAGTCATCCTGATTTTGGAGTCGTAATTAGCGTAATTGTTAGCAATTCCACACTTTTCTACCTCAGGAGTCTGATGACAGACCAATTTGCAACCATTACATTTATTAATACTTCTGGCTTTTCCTGAATTGCACGTTCCAGATGTTTTGTGACACCTGATACGTTTCACCTTGGTGATAACAATATAGGAAAAACTAGAACAAACATGCAGATAAATAAAGGGCTTTGTTTTGTTCTCTTTTAAAGTCACTCCTGGTGGTTTCCTTGTCACGTAAATAAGTTGTCTTGGTAACAATGAAATGCCATTCTGCCTTCTGTGATGTTTTGATAGTCTAGTCAAGCCTGCATAAAAATAGAAGAACATCCTATAGTAAAATTATTTCTGTTCACAGCATGTTAGCTTGCTCCCTTCCAATCTTAAAAGTAGGACTAGGAATGTTCAGGTTCATACAGACTGACTACTGTATCAAAATGATATCCCACCTAATTTATGGTGCCAGCAATACAAGATGCCTGTTTTGGCAATAAGTGACTGGTAAATAAAGCTCTCTGCTCCGCCATCTTAAAATTCTGCAACCTTAAAGCCAAATTTGCTGCCCTCCTGCATAATAAGACTTTGTTCTATTGCTAGTATAAAAATAACTGAAAAGTCTGGTTGGAATTTATGGATAAAACAGATTGAGAGAATATCAGATTATTTGTTTCAAGATCAGAATAAATATCTGGGCCATTTTTGATCTATTGAAAATAACAAACTCTGTACCTACATCTTTCTTTTCTTGTGTTCCTATCTTTATTTTCATTTGCATTTTATAATTTTCATAAATGTTTATAAAAAGTAACAAACCTCCAAATAATGTTTGTGTTTCACCTTTTAGAATCCAGGTGGCATATCCCAAAGATTGAGAAAAAAACTGTTGCTTGACAGGAATGCTGGGAACTTTTAAAGCAATTTTTGTCCATCCTCTCACTGAAGTATATTTCTCAGGATCCCTTCATATAAGAGAAGAATAAGTATCGGGATTTCCTGTATTTTGGCTCTCTGTCTAAACACATTTTAAACCTTAAAAAAAGAAATACCAAAATAATAGGGGGAAAAATATGGTCTGGGGTTTTAAAAAATGTTTTAAAAAGTTTCAGAATCATATTAGCTTAATGCTTAAAGACGCTGGTTATGGATTTCAATTCAGATGATTAAGTCGTAAGATGCTCTCAAATGACCTTCCATTACTACCTGACGAATTTCTGGTTTGAAAATTAGCATTTATGGTTTTGGGGCTGAGCTTCTGTTCAGATAAAGCATGCTTCAAAAGCATGCCTCATTTTGCAAAACAATATTATGTTTCTTTTATTGCCTTTAATTTGATGCTCTGCTTAAGATAAACCTACCTGAGAAGGTTTAAGAGCCTTTATCTTACAAGTCAATCATCTGATAGGATGCCAGGACTAAATTCATTTCCCAGATATGCAGACGGGCTGGTCTTCTGGTAAAAAAAATGCTGACTGAGAGGCAAGATATTAAACAATTTTGTCTGTGAGAGTACTCTCTCATAGCTGAGTTACTGAGTGCAATTCAAATATCTGCTGCTTAAAAACATCTACAGTCATCAATACTGGTGTAAGATAATGGCTTTCAAGTGATAAAACTTGCAAATGTGTGATATCTCCCTACTTTGAAAATGAGAAGACACAATTCCCATTGAGGAACCATTCGATTAGGAGAAACTCTTTACTCTGATAAGAGCCATGGTGGCGCAGTGGGTAGAATGCAGTACTACAGGCTACTTTGCTGACTGCTGGCTGACTGCAATTTGGCAGTTCGAATCTCACCAGGCTCAAGGTTGACTCATCTTTCCATCCTTCCAAGATCAGTAAAACGAGGACCCAGATTGTTGGGGGGAAATATGCTGACTCTGTAAACCGCTTACAGAGAGCCATAAAGCACTGTGAAGCAGTATATGAGTCTAAATGCTATTGCTATAATCTGGCTGGTGGCTTACTGCATTAGCAAGATTTTGAAAGTAGAACATTAAACACTTTTTGATCGATGTCTTATTTCATTCTGAATTTAAACATTTTGGCACACCATTTTGATGCCTTTGAACTTTGGTGTTGGAGAAGACTTCCGAGAATACTATGGACAGTGAAGAAATATAACAAATGGGTTATTAAACAGAGTTCTCACTCAAGGCACAACTAGGCTCAAATCATCCTATTTTAAGACACTTTATCTGAACACCCAGCTTTCTATAGACAGCTTTAATGGTGGGAAGATGGAAGAAAGAGCATGACTCCGCAAGATGGACCGTCCCGTTACGGGGGCTATGGGTGAATCATTGGAAAACAAAAAGGTTAGGACAGACTATCATTAAGAAAACCGATGTGCTCACTAAGAGTCAATAATGACCAAAATGGTGCACAATCAATAGATCATCCTTAAAATTATCCCCAAAGCAGCGACAAGTATAACTTCCAACGTCAGGGCTCATTTCCCACCCATCAGAAATTCAGATACAACAAAACCCGAATTCCCTTTTAACATCCAGCTTCTTCTCTTAGTCATTTCGCACATGCGCAAATTATCTTCCAATCCTGTCTTGTCCATTTTCGGCAAATATGAGGACGCTTTGAGCATGCGCATGCACATCTCGATCTTCTGGCTGGTGGGTTTTGGTTTGAGTTGGTTTTTTTTTTTTGGGGGGGGGGGGGGAGTTGCCTGAAAGACATAGAAAATGTTTGCCTTAATTTAAAAAGAAGGAACATACAAATCAAGATCGAGATTATATTATACTAACTAGGAGTATTTGGTTAAATAAATGTTTCACCGCACATATAGGCGGTGCATCTCAAATCGGGCGGGCGGGCGGGGGAAATTGGAAAATATTGCACATGCGCACTAGGCAAACGGCGGAACTCTGGATAACCCGGAAGAGAACGAAGAGGTGAAAGATCAACTATTGAAGCGACGGCATGGCGGCCGGCTCTGAGGAGGGAAAACCTATTCAGGGGAGACCTGATGCTGGCGCTACGAGCGAGGTTGTTTATGGCGAGAAGCCTCATGGAAACCCCGCGGAACCCAGCCAGGCTGCCTTCCCGCCGACTTTTAGCGTCTCCGAAATTAAGAACAAGCAGCGGCGCCACTTCATGTTCCTGCGCTGGAAGCAACAGCAGAAGAAGGTGCGAAGGAAGGGGTCGCAGAGCTTTGAGTCGCTTTCGCGTTTAAGCACCAGCTTGCTCGTTAGTAAGGAGGGAGGGTGGTTGGTAGTCGTTTTATTAATTGGGAAGGGTGGACAGATGTTAATAAAATAAGAGAAATGGAGCCCTTCGAGTCTTTGCTCAGTGGGGGCTCAGAGATTGATAAGCAAATTGTTATCCTCAGACGCATGAGAAGAAAGAATAGGACCTAGATATTGAGCACCCAGACTTGGAAATGTGTTAAAGCGATGCATGGTGGGTTTTCTTCTGTATGGTGACATGTGACTAATTTCTTTTGTTCAACTTCTTTACTCCTACAGGAAAAATTAGCCCTTAAGAAAAAGAAGAAGAAGGAGCGGGAAGCCCTTGGAGATAAGGTAAAAAAGAGGAGTGAGTAAAAGAGTTCAGATACAATCAGATCAGTTGTAACTTGCTCTTGCACTGTTACTTGGGAGGGGGGAGCCCACAAGCAGAACACAATTTCATGTTTCCTGTGAATTGGTTCATCTACTCATCTATTACTAAATGTTATGCATAACTGTCATGATTGGTAATCAATGATAGCCTTCTCTTCCACCTTCACCTCTGTATGCTATAATCATAAATTCCAGTTTATGTCTGGCTATGTCAAGAATGACTTTTTCTTTTAAATTAAGTTATATTTTTCAGTTTCTGTAGTGTAAGAGAGAAAGACATTTTTTCTAATCTACTTTCTTTAAAATCTGAATGTTGCTCAGTTATTTCTTTTTTTATAAGACCAAAATCCAACTTTTTGCAACATTCTCTGATTTACAGTATTCTTTGTGATATCATAATTAGAATTGTAATATTAACAATAGTTGCAATACTGATTTCTTTAAAGGCATTAATTATAGTGCTACTTTTATTTTCAGTTCCTTTAATGAGGATTTTGCCCTTTTCAAGAACTTAATATTTGTACTGCATTACCACTCTGAAACTTTGACTACCAATTGGGTAATCTGTTGTTTTCCATTTATTTTGTTCTATAATTCATACATCTTTCAGCTGATAGCTCAAATTGTCTACATTTTTTAAAATATTTTTGATGCTATTACTAAAGTACATCAATAGTCTTTACATGGAACATTTGTTCAATATGAAATTTATCAATTTCAGGTCTCAACTTCTATTTTATAGGCACCACCAAAACCAGAACCAAAAACCATTGAAAACCAGCGTGTATATGATGAAACCACGGTTGATCCAAATGATGAAGAGGTAGTTTTCTGTAAGCATTTTAAAGGAAATAAATGCCAGATAAATAATTAGGCAATGAATTTGGACACACATTTTCACTTTTCTGTAATGTAACAGTTGGCAGGATGGTTATTTGAAGTTCATGCATCCATTTCTTCAATGTTTAATTTTTCAGACTCTTCTTTAAAAAAAAACACGTTTTGTCTGGCATTTTTTCTATCTGAAAAATTTCTTGCAAATGGGTCATATTTAAAATCTCATATATGTAATTATAATTACATATATAATATGAAGATTAGAAACTTGCTGATAGATGATGCTGCCCTAGACAAAGAAACTTAAATTCCAATTTTTCAAACATCTCTAATAAAAAGCCTAAAGCCTACACTACTGTATTTAATGCAATCCTGTATTTAAGGGCTTGATGCAAGAGTGTGTTTAAGATTGTCTCAGGATTATACTGTACTTAGATAATTTTTATTGTAACAAGTACATTATAAATGATGAAAGAGCTATTGATTTTTATTTTTAGATGGAAGGTTCTGATTCCTGAAAATTGACTATATCACAGCAATTTCATACAAATGTCATTATTATATATTCCCAGGTTACTTTAGATGATGCTATAGATGAATTTGCTCCATACTTCAACAGGCAAACTGTTCCAAAAATTCTTATCACTACATCTGACAGACCTCGTGGGGTAAATTATTTTTTTAAGATTAATAATATTTTGCTTTGATTGAGGAATATATATACCGTGTTTCACTGAAAATATGACCTGTCCTGAAACTAAAGCCTTGCCACATTTTTCGCATGGGCAAAAATATAAGCCCACCCCCCAAAAATAAGACCCCTGGCCAGGCAGAGCACCGCTCACTGACGTAACGGTATCCTGAAGGCGCCAAGCTGCAGGAGCCGGGGGGGGGGGAAGGCGCTCACATTGCTTGCCGCCTTCGGGATACTGCTAGGTTGGGGAGTGGCATTATGTACAAATTTGTCCAGGCAAAGATTGGAATTCAGTAGTAGTTGCATGAATAATGCAGTGAAAGATGAGACTATTTCTCTTATTGGTCTTTTCAATATCGTTTCTCTGCTTGTGACATTCCACTTGGCTTATAGAGTCCATCTGTCTGTTCAACTGTTTGCTGAAAAGAAAATTCATGCACTGACTTCAAAATTCCCTCTACTAGCTGAACAAATTGTGCAGTTTTACTTGGCGCTTGATAAATGCAGTAGTGAATGTGGAACCGAGCCTGTCTGTATATCTGGTAGCTCTTTTTGCATTGTTTCTACTGACCAGTATTTTGCCTAAAGTTTGCTTCTGTGATGGTTGTATTAACTAGCACACGTGGTTGTGAGAATAGAGAAGAGACAGAGTGGCGCAGTGGTTAGGGTGCAGTACTGCAGGCCACTTCAGCTGACTGTTATCTGCAGTTCAGCGGTTCTAATCTCACCGGCTCAAGGTTGACTCAGCCTTCCATCCTTCCGAGGTGGGTGAAATGAAGACCCAGACTGTGGGGGCGATATGCTGACTCTGTAAACCGCTTAGAGAGGGCTGAAAGCTCTATGAAGCGGTATATAAGTCTAACTGCTATTGCTATTGCATTCTGCCTGGCCGGAGGGGGAAGTTGCTGGGCGGCTGCTCCCTTGCGAACTGGCTCCCAAAGAGCCGGGCACAGCCTCCGGGGTGAAGCAGCCATGAGGTGAGCAAGCTCACGAGCAACCGCCCGGAAAAACCCCTCTCCAGCCGGGCAGCGCGCCATTCACTGACCTAGGGGGTATCCCTAAGGCGCCAAACCATGTGGCACTCTGCCCGCTCCCCAGCTTCCGCGGCTTGGCACATTAGGGATACCTCCTAGGTCAGTGCATTGAGCTCTGCCCGGCTGGAGAAGGGGGTTGCGCGAGTGCCTGTTCTACCCCCAGCAGGCATGCCTCCTAGCCTCAACATATCCAGGCCCAGCTCTCCCTGCAGCAGCCGCAGTCACACTCTGAGCATAACGTCTTCTCCGGTTCCAAACTCTCAAACTCTGCTGCCAAGTCTTCCTGCAGCCAGCCCACAACCATAGAGCAGACTCCTAGAGCAACCGCTGCTGGAAAACTTGGCAGCCGAGTTTGGAACCGGAGAAGACGTTATGCTTGGAGCACGATGGCGGCAGCTGCTGCAGGGAGAGCTGGGCCTGGACATGTTGATGTTAGGAGGCATACCTGCTGGAGACGGAACAGGTGCTCATGCACTGACCTAGGGGGTACCCCTAATGTGCCAAGCCGCGGGAGCTGGGGAGCTGGCAGAGTGCCACGTGGCTTGGCGCCCTGGGGATACCCCTTAGGTCAGTGAATGGCGCTCTGCCTGGCTGGAGAGGGGATTTGCCGGGCGGTTGCTCATGAGCTTGGTCACCTCATGCCTGCTTCGCCCCTGAGGCTATGCCTGGCTCTTTGGGAGCCAGTTCGCACGGGAGCAGCCGCCCGGCAACCCCAAAACAATAAGCCCTCCCCTATAATAAGCCCAAGGCCATATTTTGTAAGTAAAAAGAAAATAAGACCCTGTCGTATTTTTGGGGAAACACGGTACTTAACCAATTTCATTGTATTTAAGTACAATGACAATAAAGATTATATTTATACTTAAAATATGGATTGTGGATTATATTAGCTGTAATATACTGTTTTGTAAAATAGTTTGTGAGAGTAAGATACACTGAATAGTAAACATGTAATTATATAGCAAACAGTCACTGTTGCTTTAAATTGGATGCTGTATTATAGCCAAAGTTGATTGATATAATCAGTCATTGGTAAACTTAAAAGTTTTAAGTTTAAATAAGCATTGACTTTTTATTTTTTTAAGTTCATCAGTGACAGGGAAGGTAAATATTTCTTACAGGTTTTGAATAATACTTGAACTTTTTTCTGTTTTGGCAGAGAACTGTGAGATTCTGTGAACAGCTAGCCACATGTATTCCAAATTCACATGTTTATTATAGAAGAGGACTGGCTTTAAAAAAAATTATTCCACAGTGTATTTCAAGGGATTTTACAGATTTGATTGTTATTAATGAAGATCGTAAAATACCAAGTATCCTTCATGAAAACTATGCAATGCTATTTGTATGCACATCTCTATTAGAGCAGCAGATTTACTGTTGGATTGGAAGAGAAGGGATTTAGTACTTGTTTCTGTATAGCATGTTTATTAAAACTGAAGCTGGGCATGAAGTACAAAGTACAAAAAAATATTGTTTCAGTATGGATTTTCTGGGAAAATATTTTCTGCATAAATCGGATTAGTTATAATTCACATGTTTAATTATATCTTAACATACTTGAAATAGATGGGCTTGTATTAAGTCATTTGCCTGAAGGTCCAACTGCTCACTTTAAGATGAGCAGTGTTCGTTTACGAAAAGAAATAAAGGTGAGTTTACTCTAATAGTCAATTTCTCTGCTTGTTAATGTTAATATTTAATACAATGTTTTCATCATTAACTTTTAGCGAAAAGGGAAAAATCCCACAGAACATCAGCCTGAAGTAATCCTGAATAACTTTACAACACGTTTGGGCCATTCCATTGGTCGCATGTTGGCTTCTCTCTTTCCTCATGATCCTCACTTTGTTGGCAGACAAGTAGCTACATTTCACAATCAGCGTGATTATATATTTTTCAGATTTCACAGGTAAGGAAGCATTTAAACATTTATGCTACAATGATTTTTATATGACAGCTTTGTTAATGCTGTGTATTGCCTTTAACAGATACATCTTCAAAAATGAGAAAAAAGTGGCCATTCAAGAACTAGGCCCACGTTTTACCCTAAAATTAAGGTCTCTTCAAAAAGGAACTTTTGACTCCAAGTTTGGGGAATATGAATGGATTCACAAGGTATTATTTCTCAACAAAGCATTGCAGAATTTTATATACTGCTGTTCAGCTAAAATTTGCAGTGTTACATGTGTGACCAATAGTGGATGCTGCTTGCAGACATGCGGGCAGTCTGCCTATATACATTAGGTGCATGTGAGTGGCAGTTGAGGGCTGCTTGATTTCTTATTTGCAAGCTGACATATTGTCAGCCCTCTCAAGTAAACCAAATAGGAAACACAACTAGACTAGAACACAGCAACAAGCAGTTTAAAAAGTTGCATCCAGTTTTACAATCTTTTTTTACTATGCTCATTAACATCAGTTATTAAGTGAATCCAGCTTCCCCCCTTGACTCTGCTTGCTGGAAGCTGACTGGGAAGGCCAAAAATAGCAATCACTGGATACCACTACACTGCAACTGCCATAAACACTTTGGTCACTAAGTGACCAAATTTTGATTCTGTGACTATAGGAATACTGCAACAGTTAACATGAGAAACAGTCGTAAGTGACTTTTTGCAGTGCCTTCGTAACTTCAGTCACTAAACAAAATGGCTGTAAATCAAGTATTACCTATAATTGTATTTGGTGGGCATTCAGTGAAATGGAATATTGACTAACTGGTCTTCAGTCTGATCCAGTAGAATTATTTTCATGTTTTCACTACCTATGATTATAAGTAAGATATTTTAAAATACTTGATCCATCAACATTTCCATAAGGATTTCATTAATAAAGTCACTCAAAAATTTTAAGCTTGGATTATAATAATTGCATTCTAAAGAATAGAATAATTTTGTTACTAGTATGTTATTTTTGGCACATACCCAGCCCATATTAGACACTAGCCTTCAAAAGTACTTTTGTGCACAATACAATTAGCTGTCAAAAGCTGTCAATTATATTCAAAATATAATTGAAAAAGAACAGAGGTCAGAGTGCTGTGAATGTTTATATGACCTTTAATACAGCCAGAGCATCTTGCCTATTTACAACAATACTGTTTTCAAGGGAGTATTGTATCCCCACATCAATGCATTTTAGGATTATTTATTTACAAATATTTGGAAAAACAAGGTTTCAAAAACAGGTTATTGAAAGCATATCAAATATATAGGAATTCTGTGTAAATTCATAAGCTGGTGTGGGGGGAGATAAATGAAGATTTTGCACTTATATGACATACTAAGGTTTCTATTTGAGTTCAATGCTTTAAGGTTGTCAGAAAACAGGAATGCGCCTAGATAAAGGGGTGTATAAAAGTGCCGACTGCCTGTGTGCTTAAGATTATGTCCAATAAATCTTTATTAACAAACATTCTTGCTTGGCAAATAAGAATTTTAAACTCAAAAGGTCCAGACTAAACCTAGGCTGGCTTAAGTTTGCTGTGATATATTAACCTAATTACTTTCATTCCAGGCATGCCTTAAAAATCTTGTAATTTGGTATTATCTTATTGCTCCATAACCTGAATTGTATTACAGGAATTTACAAATATTTGTATTTTTGTAGCAAACTATAATGAACATTACTGTTTTTCAGCGCCGTGAAATGGACACAAGCCGAAGAAAATTTCATTTATAAGAATGAACACAGTAATACCATTTTTGTATTTTTCTCACCAACAAAAGCTTCTGGAGTACCCTTGAAGATATTCAGGTTACACATGGAACACACACACACACAGACCTTGCGAACATGGCCACGACCCTATTCTCTTCAGGGCTGAAAATTCAGTTACTTTTTATAAATAATAGAAGACTTCAAGAAAGAGGAAAGAGCTGCATCAGTCACTATCTCCTTTTGTTAAGAAGTCACGGACCCTTCTCAAAAATAATGCTTTGTAATTTAATTCTTTCATATCTTATTCTGAATTAAAATATATCTAGTTCTGGATCTTAAAATCAGGTTTTGTGCTGAATATATTATTTGCCACAAATAAACATTTTACATGTCAAATACTATTACCGGGTATTGTTGAATGTTCAAGCAGTTCATTAACGCAGAAAAATAACAGTACAATTCAGATATAGTGGCTATACAGATTTTGTTTATTTGATCTTCGGTAAGCTTAATTTTTTTTTAAATTGGATAAGGAACTGAAATATTCTTCAAGTACCTATACAAGGAACAAATGGGAAATGAATCTTCTTTTTTTAAAGGGAGAAGAAATTAGGGAACACCCCATTTTCTGTGTCCATCTTAATGAAACTTGAGATAATGGAAATTCTGTCGTCTATAATCACAGGAAGCGAAAGAAAAACAAAGTTCTTTTTAATCTGACCAATATTACTCAGTTCATATGCAATTCTAATCTACAGATTAACCTTAAATGCTTTAATATTTGTTTACATACATGTAGGTACTACAAAGCAGTTCCCAGTTTGGACACAATGGTAAACTGTACTTCCCATTTTTCACTAATTGTCCCCAGATATACAAAGAAAAAAATGATTTTAGATATAAAACTTCAGTTCCTCATCAACAAATCCTTGTCAAAGAAATATCTGAAAAATACGGCTTGAACATCTCAAAAACCAAGATCATGGTCATCGGCAAACAACCCATTAATTTACCACCAATAACTTTGGAAGGAATACACTAGAAAAAGTTGAATCATGTACTTGAGTTCTAATTTACATGAAAGCTGGAACATGACCACTGAAGTAAAAACAAGGATAAAGCTCAAACAGCATTCTTAAAATGAAAAGTCTTCTGCAGTCACAATATAAGCCTAAGATTGAAAATCAGGCTTGTTAGATGCTAATTGTTTCTATCCTCTATAGAGTGAAGAGTTGGTCTCTGACAGAAAGCCACTTGAAGAGACTAGAAGCATTTGAAATGTTGATTTACAGGTGGCTATTACATATAAGTTGGCTTGACAAAATCAGAAATGAAGTGTTAAGCTGCTTGGGAAAGCCAAGTAAAATCATCAAAACTATAAAACGAAAGAATATTTTGGATATGTGATTTAACACCCAGAAATATACGGCATGCGTCACTTAATCCTCCAAGGAAAGATTGATGGCAAACAAGGTCCAGGCAGAAGATAGTCATGCCTTCAAAATCTAAGGGACTGGTTGGAATAAAACAGCACTTTTTTGTGTATCTGTTGATAAAAATAGGATCAACAACATGACAGACAACATCTGTTGATGGATATGGCAGAAGAAGAAAAAGAAGATATAAAACTGAACTTACACCTTAGAAGTCACTCTGTTTAGATAAGTCAAAAATTAAATCAATGGTCTCTAGGGAATAATTGTTTCAAATGAATGTGATACTCAACTAAGCATCACCTCTGCACTGACCTAAACTGATAGTCAGCTTGGTTAACTCAGATCTTGCTTTGACCTGTCAGGCATGATAATTATGCAAATATAAATAAGAAAAACTATATGCAGCCAGTTATTTAAGATTATTCAGTTTGTTCCAAAACTATTTTAGAAATCTACACAATATTCTTGTTCTATGTTATGTATTTAGTAATCGATTTTAATATTTTGGTTTCCTTTTTGACTAATTTATGCTACTCCAGATTGATGTAAAACAGAAGAAACAAAATTGTATTAGATTGGTAAATAATGTATAACAAGGCATTTATTTATTTTTAGTTTTATAGGATATTCACAATTTAGGATGCTTCTAGAGGCAAATACAATTTACTCCAAATTAGTTATGACTATATAACAACTGAAGTAGAAAGAACAAAATCTATACTGATTGTAAACCGTTAATTTGTTTAGATAAAGATGTTATTTTGTTTTGTAAAGCAGGAATATTTTTACAAAATGCACTAACTTTTACAGTATTTTTAGAATAGTGACGCTTTGGATACACAGTTCAAAGTATTAGGACAAGTTCAAATACGCTAACATTCAAAATCATGTCAACTCTATTGCTTGAGTACAAAATTGATTCCCTCATGATACAAAGTATAGCAACTAGCATACAGCTTGTTAGAGAGGTAGATTTTAAGGGGGGGTTGAAACAATAGCAATCTTACAAGCTCAAAGTTGGCACATTAATACAAAGTTTCTGTACAGGCTCCAAGCCATCTTGTTTCATTTCCATATTCAACATAATCAGCTAGGAAAAGTTGTTAGATCTGCAAGAAATAGAATACATAAACTCATTAAACAAAGCTAAGATATTTAAATTGTATGTTACTTATATTCAAATGTTTAAACTTACAACAAAATTTTAATAGTTGGCAATATAACACAACAAATCAAAATAAGCCACATAAATCAGTTGCTGGCTATGTTCATGCAAGCTAACAGAAGTGAACATTACTTTTGGTTAAACTTATTTACTCCCTTTATTGGCTTCCAAACCAAGAAAGAGGACACTAAAACAGCATTAAATGGGTTCCTAACTCCCCTAAGATTTGTTTCCCATTATTGTGTACATCTGTATTTCAAGAGACAGAGATGGGGACAGAAAATGAGTTATTCCATGCTTTGTTACAGAAATATTCATTTTTACTTAACCAAAGAACAAATTAGAAGGGGAAGACATATCGTAAAGATGATCAAAATACCAGCCACAATGGTTCTTTTCAGCAAACCAGAAATGCTTAGTTTGTTGTGTTGTCCAATGTTACTTTAGGTCAGGCTAAGCATACTTGGTAGTTATGACTTATGTAGTGACCACATAATTTTTAAGTTGCTGTTAACAAAATCCCATAGGGGCATTAAGAGCACACACTCATGTGTAATTCTAATCTTTCAAAAACACACCATGAGATTGTTGTCCTATTGTCCTATTCAATAATACGTGAATACTCAAATTCATGTTTGTTGTTCAGTCCCTATGGGAGGGATGATGATGGTGATTATTATTATGGTGAGATTCACAGCCTTTGGGGCTGGTAGGTAGCTCAACAGCTCGAGTCCTAACCAAGGACCTAGGAACAGTTAAGGTAACGTTGGAGGATATAAGCTGTTCCAAGTAGGGTGGTTTTTTGTTCAAATCTGATAAATTTAAAATTTCCAAATAGCGAGGTAGCCCTTTAGTAATTTCTCCAAGGGCTCCAATTACAATCGGGACAACACACAATTTCTTTTATTTTAAATTATTATTATTGTTGTTATTTATTTTATTCATTAAACATGACAAAATACCATCCAAAAAACTGTTAATTGATGGCATAAAAGTACAAAAAAAGAAAATCAATGAATCATGAAATACAAAATGGGCATATTATATAAAAACCACTACCAGGGTTCAAACTACCCATAATCCTGGACTTACACTGGCAATTGGGACTGGAATTTCCATTGCTAAGTGATGTTGTAAAACACAACTGCCTCACTTAATGATGGCAATCTCTGCAGTCCAGTTTGCTATGGTTAACTGAAGCCAGGATGTTAGCTGAGGCAAATACCTTCTGACTTTCCACAGCTAAAGTCTGTGGATCTACAAGACCAATCAGGCCAGCTGGCATATAAGTGGGGGAAAGAGGGTCAGGGAGGATATAAGGGGACACACGATAGACACAATGCAGATCAAGGAAGATGTACTAGACTACGTGTGAGAGATGCAGGTTGGGAAGGGTGCAGGGAGGTGTTTTGTGGGTTGGCAGGAAGCACAAGAGCATAGGTCAGGCAGAATGCAAGGAGTGAACAAAGTACAGCATGGGTTTTGAAATGTGGAAGGAGGTGCACAAGTGGTCAGTGCAAGCAGAGGGGCTAAGGATGCGCAAATGGAGGAGACTGACCTCAGTGACTTGTAACCTTCCCTATCAGCTTCCCAATTGTCTGGGAAAGCTGTCAGTAAAAGTAGCAAATGACAATCACATGATTGAAGGGAGCTCCAACAGCTCCTGCTTCAGTATGAACCTGTTACCATATATCCAAATTACAATCTCATGACCACTGAGGTAGCCAATTGTCCAAGAACCTGGTCATATCTACCATTTCTTCAGCGCCATCATCAAAGTTATGATTCTAAACAAATAGTCAAGTGACTATATCTGTGATGGCACGTGGGCCTGAAGTGGCACATAGAGTCATGTTGCCTGACATGTGTGGTGTCGCCCTTTCTTCTTCCAGTTTCCTGGCACACACGATGATCAGTTGGCCTTTGCGTGTGCGGCATTGCCGGAAAACAGAAGAACTGATCTTCTAGTTTCTGGCATGCCCATGCACATCTACCAGCAGATCTTCACATGCACATGTGTGCCAGAAACCGGGAGACCAGTGGCCACTGCACACATGCATACCGGAAACTGGAAGTTCATTTCCCGGCGCACATATGCTCCCTGGGCAGCTCCTCTTCCAGATTGCAGCTCCGACGAGCGCAGGACTCCTTGTCAAAAAAGTTCACCATCATTGACCTATATCCTATTTCCATAAAAGAGATCAGGTGATGGCACCTAGCCAAGTCTGATGGATACTAAAACAGTTAAACTTGGAGACCATCTGATTGGGAAATCATCAGGAAATCCCAAGGTTTTAGAATAGTCTAGAAAAAAAACATCCTAGTAGAATGCAATGTCCAACTACTTGTTGGCATGTAGTTATTGTATTTGGCATGTACTTATTGCAAGTCTAAGCTGAACATTCAGGACTTTTTACCTCTTTCAATAAGAACAGACTTTGCTGTAATAGACTATTTCATTATTCAAAATCTTAATAAATTGTGAAATATTGGTCATGTATCTTTCAATAAAAATATATTTTTTAGACTACAAATTTAAGTAAAAACTTATGGTACAATCTGATACTTACAAGGAAGTAAATGCTGAATAAAGAGGGACTTACTTCCCAGAGGTCCTGTATAAAATCAGTTTACAGGAAAGTGTTTGACATATTCTGAAGGATAAGTCATGAACTACTATACCAGAGAACAAGGGTAGCAACCTTTGGATGGCTAGAGAAACCGACACTTAATGTCTTTTAGGAGACATATAAATCAGGCTATGGTTCTCTAGGTTTCAAAGGCAATATGGGGAAAATTTATTTTTTTAAAGAAGCTTCTTTATTTATTTTATTTCCTTTTTCCAGAAACAGAATTTTTGATTACTTTTATAACTCTGACCAAGCAATGTGTGAAGTTGCAAGGGGGGGGGGGTAGTCCAGAGGTCACCATCCCTGCTCTAGGTAAAGTGAAGTCGTAGTTAAACTTGAAGCTTTACAAGTGAAAGTTTCCAGTGGCTCACCAAATCAGAGAAAAGAACAGACTTTCTGTGGTCTGAATGGATTTGTACTTGATGAAACTCCTGTTAATAAAGGATCGTGATGTGCATTTTGAAGGCAAAACTGCTTCAGATCAGCTGCAGCTTGCGAAACCTATGAACAGAAAACCACATTTACATAATGTAATAATGGATTTTAGTAATATAACAAATGTCAAAAATGGCCAGACATTAAAACTGTTTTTTCCACCCCGCTATACAGGTGTGCTCAACTTATAACCAATAATTTAATACCATTCAAAGTTACAACTGACTTACCCAGAGCTAGTTATAATTTTTGAAGTTACAGCAGCTGCAGACACACTCATGGTCATGTCACATTTTGAGCACTTGGCCAACTGGCTCACCTTGACAATCATTTGTAGTATCCTGTGATCATGTGACCACAACTTATGTTTTATCCAGTTTCTCATGTTTATTTCCAGATATTGACAAAAAACACTGATTGGGAAAAATAGATTCAGTTAACTCGGGTATGTCAAACTCAAGGGTAGTTAGATTTGGCCCATGGTTCCGGCCTGAAAATAGCAAAGGACTCACTCGCAGCTCCCTCTGGCAGCTAAAATGGGGTGCCAGGAGGCTTTACACCCTCAAACCCCATTTTGGGCCTGGACAGCCTCTTGCAGCCAAACTGGGGTGTAAGGATTGCACATCCCACTCACACCCCATTTTAGCCAGCACTGCCGGAGGCATCCCTCCCATCTCCCCCAGCCCCCTCCATCCAGCAGAGGACAAATACAATGCTATCCAGCCCTCGAAGAAATCCTGTTTGACACCCCTGAGTTAACTGCTGCATTTGCTTAACAACTATCTGGAAAAATGATTGTAACTTCAAATCTAGTCACATGATGCCTCAGTTTATAACTGTAACAACTTACGACTCTAATTCCAGGCTCAGTTATGATAAGTCAGACTATGTGTACAGTAGATTAATTACAAGATTGTCCTATCAACAGTATATAAGAACATTCGGGATTGTCAAATGCATACCCTATCTTCATACAAAAACATATTCACAACCAGACTATGTTTGTTGTCAATGGCAAGAATTCTTCAAAATCTCATAAAATTCTGCCAATTGATATAACTCCCAGATTCAGCCTTTTAAAATCACCAGCTTTTATATCAAGTCTTTTACAGTGCAAGTGTTGTATAATAATCAGAGACTGCATTGTTCCAGAGTATACTGTTCTTGATGGAACATCAAATGATCAGTCTTTAGTATACTAAAGTCAGTTTACTAAAGTATATTAAAAGTTCAGTAACTGCTCAACAAGCTAACTTTCAATATTAAAATTCATATTTGGCTATAGTCAAATATCACAATACATTTTTTGCTCTTCAGAATTCTTATAAAAGAATTGAAGGGTCTCAGATGCTTAAGAAATGTGCATTAGCAAGCAGTATTATTTTATGAGTCTTCCTAATTAATGAAGAACAAATATGTTACAATTCAGGTTCTGAAGATGATGAAGATGGTAGCAAGCAGCATTTTACAATCAATTGTTTCTAATTAACCAATAAAGCAAAGTATGTTTTGATTCAGGTTTGGAAAACAAAACCTAGCAACAAAAGCTTTTCCTGGCCAATAACTCACTCCCCATTTTGCAACAAGGGTGGAGTCCCAAGTTGGTTTGCCAGATGGCGTTTATTCTTTTCTTTTCCTCTGAAGAACAAAAAAGCTCTAGATCAAGATGACAAAACTGCGTCCTTTCTTTCACTGCGACTCCAAACCTAAACGGGGAAACCCTGAACGAACCCGGCAAAAGGATCAAAATCAGCAAAACTTGATCCAAGCGGAAAACTGGACAATGCGACTGGGGCCGCCTTCGGCAACACGGTGCCCTCCCTCCAACTCCCACAGCTTGGGTGAAAATACGATGGGGGCCGGGGGTTGGTTGGTTCCAAATGTATTTATGATAAAATCAGTAACCGCCGGGTTAAGTCTGGCTTGCCAGGGAGAGGCCGCACACTTAGAGCTGCTTAAACCCGAGTTAAATTGTACGGCATTTCATAGGCCAGTGTTTCTTCAACTTTTGTCTCTTGATCCTTTCCCACCTTTCAAAATTATGGAGAAACCATAATTTGCTTGTGTTGTTTTTAATCGACATTTACTCCATTAAACTTCAAACTGACGCATTTACTTTCCTAAGTTGCCCGATTTTAATACTGTATTATTTTTCGACCTTAACTTGACGAATAATTTCGATTTCGCGGAGTCCTCTAAGAGGGTCTCGGGGTGGGGTGGGGGGGGTGTTTGTCCCACAGGAATCCTAGGGCCACCTCTTTTAAGTAGTACTTTAAAAGAAAAAGCACCCCGGGGCACTCTTCCTCAGGTCTCCTCAGGCCCGATAAAGGAAGTAAAAGTCTCTGAGGCGGCTCAGCGACCGAGCGCCCACGCAGCCTTTTCCCGAGGTGCGCTAATGGCGGCCGAGCCTGCTCCGACGGGCGGGCGGCCTGGTCTCCGCCCCACTCCGGGGCTCACCTTCACGCGGCTCACGCTAGCCTCGAGCCGCAGCTGTTGCACCACTTTCTTCATAGCGGCGACGTTGGAGGCGCCGGACATGGCCCTCTCCCTCACTCAACTCCGCGCGACGTCGAACTCGTAAAAAGAGCCGCTTCTGCTGCTGGCAAACGGGCGGGTCGCTGTGCGGGTGAGGGGGGGGGGGCTGCTTCTCGGAACTTTCGGGCAAGTTTCCGGCGCTTGGAAAACTCCCCCGCCCATAGACTCGAGAGAGACTCAGGCACAGCGCGCGCTGGCGGACTCCCTGCGCAAACTCGGCCTCGCGTGCCCCCCCCCGCCCCTCGCCCGAAGCGGAAGTCCAAGTTGCCTGTTGAAAACTTAAGTTTGAGAAGCTTGAACGGGGCGGGGCTTCGAGTCCTGTCTCGAGCGGCGGGGGGGGGGGGGAATGAGTCGCGTCTTTGCTGCTGCTGGTGGGACGCGGCCGCGCGCCGTGCTTTCTCCGGCTTCCTTATTAGTAACTTTGGAGCGTCGCCCGTGCGCCCTCGGACATAAAGGCGGCCTTTGCACTGTCAGAATTGGAGCACCGAACAGCTGCAAAAAAATTGCATGGAATCGGCTCTCTTCTTTATCTTAGAACAGAACAGATTAACAGTTGGAAGGGTTCTTGTAGGTCATCTAGTCCAACCCCCAGCACAAACCTTACACCAATTCTGACAAACAGCAGTCGACACTATCGCACTAGTGTTGGCGAGCCTGTAAATTCGTTCACGTTCAAGCAACACTATGTATGTTGTGCATGGTTTCTCTCCCCAGCCTCTCCGGCCGTCAGTGCAAACAACCAGCTGGGTGTTCTATTTGCGCGCCAATTAGGTCGCCCAAGGCTGGTTTTGTGTATATGTGTATATTGTGCTACATTGGGAGCGGGGAAAAGCGGGAAAACGCGCCTTAACTGCAAAAATTCGAGACTTGGGACTGGAAAATTAGAACCGATCGCCGATAATCTGCAAATGGCTACATTTGTAGGTTTGTTGTAAACTTCCCCCCACCTTTCAGAACTACGGACGTCTACGCAGCCGGGAGAGATGCGAGGTTAAGGTGGTTAGTTCCGCTGCCACTGCAAATATTGTAATAGTTTTATTATAATCTCTGCCCTATCATTTCCAACGGGCCCGCGGTGTTTGCAGTCTGTTCTGCAAAGGAAAAGCAAGATTTCCCCAAACACGTTTGTTAAATATTTAGCTTAACGCTTGAGCTGTAACCCAGCGGCGAGGCGCAACCCGCTGTGTAATCCACTTTTTTCCCTGCCGCCCGTCCCAGCGGGGGCCGCGCATAGCTGAGTTTCATCATAAAACGACACATAACTGAGCTTCACCGTAAAACGGGACCACCCCGTTCTGATTTATTTATTTTTTTCTTTTGGCCTCCCGCCACTTTCAACGGCTCTCGGGCGCGAGCAGAGTGAAGCGAAAATACAAACCAACTTCCTGTTACGTGGGAAGCTGTCATGCTACCCTGGATGGGTGAGCGGTTGTGAAGCCGGCTTTTAAAGGACGAGGTCTGGACTCTTCTTTGAAGTCATCGAGATGGAGTTTAAAGGCAATAAGCTAACAGATAAGAATCATACGTCCTTCCACATGTTTAACACTTAGGGTCAAAACCTGACGTTATTAAACCACAATCTCTCTCCAAATGGTGAAAGACTGCCTAAGGTTTTGGGGAAGATTTTGCTACACGTGCCTCAATAAGGAACAACTTCAAGAAATAAGCTTAGTTCCCCCCCCCCTTCTCTTCAGTCAGCACACTTTTTTGTTTTAGTGCAAATTACTTAATAGCAATAGCAATAGCAGTTAGACTTATATACCGCTTCATAGGGCTTTCAGCCCTCTCTAAGCGGTTTACAGAGTCAGCATATTGCCCCCAACAACAATCCGGGTCCTCATTTTACCCACCTCGGAAGGATGGAAGGCTGAGTCAACCCTGAGCCGGTGAGATTTGAACAGCCGAACTGCAGAACTGCAGTCAGCTGAAGTAGCCTGCAGTGCTGCATTTAACCACTGCGCCACCTCGGCTCTTAAATTTTTACCAATTTCAGTTTTAAAGAATTAATGAATGCCAAGGCTGTTATTTATTTCTCTTCCATTGCCCAGTATAATCTTGTGCAAATTTATGTGAAAGTAAACCCCTTCATTTTGCACTTTTTTAAAAAAGACATTTAAGATTACGGAAAGTGGGAGTTTTAACAATAGTCTCACTTGCAGGAATTAAGTCTTTCCTGGTACTATTAATTATAATATCAACAATACAGCTCTGGATTTACTGAGAGAACAAACAGCTCAACAATTATTTAGTTGAAAGAAATGGCAATAACAAAAAATACTTAACAATAGTATTAATAAACATGATAGCCGCTGCCCTAAATTGAATTTTTAAAATTAAGAAAATGTGTGTGACCAGAACTATATTATGTCAATTGATTGTGAGCTTCATTCAGTTCAGGCTTTAAACAAATTTGTAGTATGATTCACAAAACATGCTAACTCATAATGGAGTTGGTTTTGGCTTACTGTAAATTGCATGAATGTTGCCATGTTGCTTGTAAATACAATTAATAGCTTAAGTGTATTATGCAAACCTAGGTAATTGAGATTTAATCAGAAGATTATAGTTAATCTGCAGCTAGCACAACAAATCTAGCCTGTATATCTTTTGCATTAAATTCATAAGAACTTAAGCTGATTAATTGAATATTTTGGCTCTTCATCGACCAGCAATATGGCTATGAAAAGTCCATAAGTTGGGAATGAATGTTGTTGAATTCTCCTACTTGTATTCCTTAACTACTTTTACTGAGAATGCTGGTATCAAATAGCAATAGCACTTATATACTGCTTCACAGTGCTTTACAACCCTCGCTAAGTGGTTTACAGAGTCTGCATATTGCCCCCATACTCTGGGTCCTCATTTTACCGACCTCAGAAGGATGGAAGACTGGTGAGATTCGTCAGCTAATCTCTTCCAGGTTCTGGCACATACATGCGCCAGAACCCAGAAGAGCAGCTGGCTGCCATATGCATGCACACCAGCCAGTTGCACGGGCACACATGCATTCCAGTTTCAGCACCCAGTGCCGAAAAGGTTTGCCATCACTGGCTAGTCCCTGAAACATGCACCACCGGTGAGTACGGAATTGTCTTCCATGTTATTTGATATTCCTTTTTGGTTTGTGATTTGAGAAGGTAGATTGGATGCTGTCTAGGATGTCCTCTGCTACATGGAGGCAGATTTGTTGCCCATCTTAGCTTTTTCAAGCATTTGGAGGAGGGATAGTTCCTATATTTGGGGAATTGTTGGTACCTTATTGTAGGAGGAGCCACTGCTGGAAGTTTTTAAAGAGGCTTTGGTACACTCCCTCATTAAAAGACATTCTAGAATCTAGGTCAAGAGAGGTTAGAAAACTACTTTCTGGTCTCTTCACTTTTTTACTAACAAAGGCTTTTGAGACAATGAGGACAAATAAACTGCAAAGCCTAAATGAAACATATTTTCTGGCCCCTTGTCAGTCAGGGAATGGTATACATTGTTTTGGTTGAGGAATTATATAATTGTTGGGACCTAGATGAGATAATATGCCTCTCTTAGTTCTTTTAGTTGTTTCAGTGGCCTTCATTATTAGTGACCTTGATACACTTCTTCACTGACTACAGTAATTGGGAATTGGTGGTACTGTTGTGTAGTAGTTCTGCTCTTTCAATGAATGGTTCTACTTGGTGATAAGAGAGAAAAGGTTGGCTTGGTGGCTTTACAAGTAGGATATATTACACCTTCACTTTGAATCCTACACTGGCTTCCACTATAGACTTCCAATTTAAAGTGCTGGTTTGAACCTATAAGGCCCAAGGCTTAGCACCAAGTTTTTTTTTCAGGACTGCTTTTGTCCATTAGAATCAGCCTCATGAATTAAATCTTGCTGGGTAAACAGCTGGTAAATTCTCATTTTGATACAATGATGAGGCAGGCTAGACTTAGAATTGCCACTGTAATTTTCCGTAGATGCACCAGTCCTCTAGATTAGAATGTCCTCTCATAAAGAGATTGGCTTAGTTCCTACCCAAACTGCTTTCTCAAATCATTTGAAAAGAGGACTTCCGAAGAGTGTTTGGGATTTTGGTTTACTGCATATGTTTTTAGTAGTAATAGTGTGTATGTGTGTGCACGCGCGCATCTGAATACTAACCATGATATTTTAATTGTTATTGTATTCCTGAAAGCTGTTGTGGGAAGCCCCCCTCCCCGCCAGAAGAATGAAATATTTTGGTAAATATTAAAAAAGTAGAATATCATATTTCCCTAAAGGAGACATGGAAAAACATGTTTTTAGAGGCAGAAAGCAGCCCCCAGCCTTTCCTAATAACCCACAGCAGATGCCAGCACTTAAGGAGATAAAGAGCTTATTGAAACTGGAACTGAATCAGATGAGTTTTCCTTTCAACACTATTTAGAGTCTGCAAGATTTTGGTCAGTATTAAATAAATAAATACATGAGCATGCTGTAATGAACCACAATATTGTGTTTAAGATTGGTTGGTATTCATTCCTGTATGGTCAAGTATATATTTTAAGGGAGATATAAGATCCATTTTAGTCAATGTGAATTAAACTAGATATAATTACTGCTGTTATTGAAGGGAAAAAGAACAGAAAACAAGCAGCAAGACCCTTAATTCTTCATAGTACTGAGTAAATGTTTACACAGAGTTCTGATCAAGCCTTTTCATTCCCTAAAGTGCAGTGCCCAGATTATGGAATACTTGTTGAAACACACACCTTGATGTAACCAGTACAAGGAAAGCAGACTTGAATTACTGCAGCAAATCACAGGTGCACAGTCCTGGCTAGGTAATTCATCATGTTACTAAGGTGATTTTACTTACACAGAGGGAGTGGTCACCTCAAAGGTGTTTCAGTTCCTACATTAGCAAATGTTTGGCTCCTTTCAGTTAACAAGAAACAAAAGGTTTTTCTACCCTGAAGCTGTCTTTGTTTTATATCAAAATTTGCAGGATATGGAAACAATTGTAAAATGTGGAATATTGCAACTTAAATACCTATAGGATTTATGAGTACAGTGTTAAATAATACTTGGAATTCAATATGTGATTTAAAAAACAACATCCAAAATTCTGTATAAATCAGAAATGACATCAAGGAATATGCTGTCCAATCAAAACAGACTACGCACTTCAGAGGTAAGAAATAATGGATTGTAATAATCACTGATAAATTTTATGCATGTTACACTGCAATATTTTCCATTGTTGGTTGATAAGAATAAAAATATGTTTAAAAACTTGTTAGATCTTTCAGCTTCCAGTCCTTTAAATGTCAAAAATGGTGTTACATATAGGCTAAATTTAAACTATAATTAATATTTCAAAACATTAGTATTTAGTTATGCTAATTACAGACAAAGGCAGTGATCAAGATTTTATCATTTTTACTCAAGTTATTACCATAATTTTCTTCCATTGAGAGTGCAAGAACAGTTGGTTTCATACCTATTCTTTTATTTGACACCATTTTAACTTTAAGCACAGGGTAATGGTTCTGCAGTCAGAAATAATTCAATTAATATGGTTGCACCTGCTACTAGGTACACACAGGAATTATTCCAGGGTCCTTTGACTAATAGAGACCAAAAGATAAGTGTCAGGTTCTCTAGTACCACACTGTGAACAGTTACCCTATTCCTGGGTTTGACCCGGCACTAGTATTACTACTACTAGCAGCAGTAATTATAATACTAATATACTAAAAAGAGGAATAGCTTCTCAGGAATTTCAAACCTGTGTTTTCCTAATTTAATATTAAGTAAAGAAATTATGCAGGAAAAGTAACACCCACATAAAGAATAGAGATTGTATGATTGTTCTAATATGGTTGGTCCACAATTTGCAATATTCCCTCCTAGCATGAATAGTGAAAGGATTCTTAGATTTGATGTTCCTCAACACTTTGACCACAGATTTCCTATCCCTGATAAGGGACCTGAACACAGGCAATTAAATTTCTAGTGATACCAGTTTCAAGTCTAAGGAAAATACATATTTTTAAAGGATTGAACGAATGGAAGAGTGGAGCTTCTATCTCTTTCCCTGTGTCATCTCCTGAATGATATCAAAATACTTCACTGATGATAATTTGCTTAAACAAGAAAAAGCATATTTAGGAATGATTTATCTCAGGAACATCTGCAACTCCTTTACAGGCATATATAATCACATTTGATCATATGACACTGGTATCACTTAATTAGGAATGGGATGCAGTCCAGTCTTATTTGGACTACTGTGTGATGTACATGTGTTTGTCACAGAGACAATTCTGAAATTTCAGTTAGACAAAAATGCAACAGTTACTATTAATTGTTTGTACAGCTTCAGAGTATAAGCACTACTTTTAAATCAGCATCTTTGATTGCTAGTAAGAATCTACATGAAAGCAAGGGTTCTGAAATTTAAACCCTTGCACAGTTTGTATCTGGGAAACCTGAAGGATAAAATAAACTAATTATCAATTATTAATAGTTTTTTATTCCCTACACCTGTGGAACTTCATACCGTTGGGGAAAATTGCTGAGAAATTAGTCAAAACCAGCTGAGATGCTTTTTCCTTATCACTTTTCTGGCAAAAGGCAAAAGATAGACTGAATTTAGGTCAGCAACTGAGATAATTCAGAGAGATTAAAGTGGACCTTGGACGTCAGCAAAATTACAGCATTTTGTCCAAAAAATGGAATATAGGGACAATGGCTAGGAATTATCCAACTTGACAGAACTCAAGGAGGGTTTTTTTTTTAAAAAAAAAAGTGCTAATGAATATGAGGTTTCCTGTTTATCTTACCCTTTGGTGGGCATGTGTTTTTCTCCTTGGTAGTCCTTGATTAAGGGTTTTGTTTTTGTTTGCTTGATTGTTGGGTGGTCCCTGCTTATATGGGTAATTAGTCTTGGTTATTTTGGCCTATGGTAGTGTCATCCTTTTCATAGCTTGTGTAGGTTGTGCTGGTCAGCCTACCAGGGTTAAGTGATCAAGTACTTTTTGATAAAGTTGTGTGGGTATCTATTTTGTTGGAAAGTGTTGGATAGGTGATCTATTCCCACCTTTTGCTTCTTTTATAACCTAGAAAAATGGGAATCAAATTGGTCTCATCTAGTCAAAGGTCTTGCCCTATTTCAGGTTTAAATTATCCTTTCTAATTGGACAAAAGAGATCAAATATTCATCCACCAGGTCTGTAAGCATTATAGCAATAGCAGTAGACATATACCGCTTCATAGGGCTTTCAGCCCTCTCTAAGCGGTTTACAGAGAGTCAGCATATTGCCCCCAACAATCTGGGTCCTCATTTTACCCACCTCGGAAGGATGGAAGGCTGAGTCAACCCTGAGCTGGTGAGATTTGAACCGCTGAACTGCTGATCTAGCAGTAGCCTGCAGTGGCATCAAAATGCTGCATCAAAGCGACATCCAAATCAAAATGAATGCAAGTGATTCTAGTTCCAAGTTGCTCACAACAGTATCATGAAACTAGGTGCCTCAGTGGTTAAGACACTGAGCTTGTCAATCAGAAAGGTCGGCGGTTCGAATCCCTAATACAGATCTCGTGCGTGAGCATGGGGTTGCACTAGATGACCTCCAAGGTGCCTTCCAACTCTGTTACTGTTATGTGGCCCATATTTGCACATAAATCTTTATCTCTGTCAGAATAGTTTATTTACTGTCATCCCAATATACATCTTTGTATACAATTTCAACATATATCCTTTTTTACAAGTTTTACAAGAGGTACACTTTTTATATGCAACTTGTCAAAAGTGTTCATTTTTGCATATGATTTTTGGACTGAGAGAAATATTTAAACAGTAAGTTCCAAAAATTATGTATCCATTTATGGCATGATGGATTGCATTCTCATAATTTGCACCATTTTGCCTAAGAAGAAATCATTGACATGTATTGTCAGATGTAAACTCCATTATTAAAATTGCCCATGCTAATTACTAAACAGTTTCTTTTTATATATTTTTAGCTTTTAGAGCTGCATGTATTTTATGTTCCAGAAGAAGTATGGAATTTCAAATTGAATACAGTTTCTATAGAAGTTATTAGCAAATTATTTTCAGCTGGATTTATAAGGTGAGATGCAATAGAATAATAATAGTGGGTGACTTTCTTCCAGTTAATCAGCCAGCTTTGTGCTCAAGGCAGCCTAAAACTCAGAGTTTCCTGGTTTCTCCCAGCATTTTAAACATTATACCAAATTGGTTTTCTATCTTATCATATCAAATCACAAAGACCATGCATGTACATTTAGTTTTAGAGTGTGGGTGATAGCTGTAAGCTATGCATCCAAAGAGTATTGTACCTTGTTATGCCCTATACGCTACTTTATATTTTAGATTTTCTTTTCATTATTTCAGTAAAAGTGAACAAGGCTTAATGAAATTGCACTGCAATCTTGAATGCTGCTAAAAGTACCAGTTTCACAATAAGAGTTAATATCTCAATTCTAACATTGAAGTGCCTTCTATGTTTTATTCTCTTTCTATTCCCACCTCTCTAAAACTAAATGCTGTACAATATAAGCATTATCTTATATCCCTATTAATACAACAATAAAATCTGATATTCTAGGGTGTCACCTCATATGACATTGAAAACATTAAGAGAAAACCTTGGAGAGTACCTAGGTGAAGATGCAGTTATAGATAAGTATGTCTTTCTAAAATGCATTGGAGAGAAACTTGTGGTGGTAAGTACTTCATGCTTCTTGCTGATTATCCTACAAGATTATCAACATATATAATATAGCCAAGAATCTCCCCTAGGAACAAAACTAATAATATGATATTGGGGTAATGACTTCTGAATAGCACTATGTGACGCAATGAATATATTCTGACATTTTATTAACCACGGTGCAGGCCTCCTGTAAAGGCCATCTGAAACTAATCTTGGCAGCAAATGACAAGTCCTTTTATTCTGCCTGAATTTCATGGATTAGAATGCCCATAGGCAATTGCCAACCACTGTGTAAATAACAATTTATAAACTTTTCTCTATTTGAAATATTTAGATATTTTTGTGGCCTATAATAATCACAGGGAAAATAAGCATTTCCAAATGAAACTATACAACAAAGCAGCAGGAGCAATGGAGAAGCCAATATAATTTTAAATGATTTATTTTATAGCTATGATGCAGCATATTTCTTTGCTAATAGTTCAGAGAAGTCTTAAGAAATGGGGGATTTCTGAACAGTAGCCATTTTCATGGATTTTAAAGAAAATATGTTCAATAATAGACTGATGTTTAAAAATAATGAATAATGTTTTAAAGGGAGATTCAGAATAAGCCTGATGAACTATTGCTTGGGGAAAAGAACTGCACATGAGGCATCTCTCATCAAAATGAGTATCAAAACGTACATGCTAAAATTCTATAAGGTTGCATAATATAACTCCAAGAGCAATCCATCAATTTAGAAGTTCTAACTAGTTTGCAGAGGAAATGAGAAACCTAAGTGAGCTAAAGATTTGTTCCCATTTAAAAGGCTGCTTTTCTGTGAATAGTAAAAACTTCCATGAGAGAAACTGAAAGGTTATTTAAGCTTCCTATAGCAAAAGTCACAGGGATTTGGGTGGTATATACTGGTAAATTTAATTTAATTAAGATGCTGAGAGATTCTAAAAACATATAGGTAGTGTTTTGTTTTCAATTACTGATGCAGTAGTGGTAATAATTCTGAAACTGAATAGTTAAATGTTACTTCTCTTTTGAGTAACTAGAGCATTCACTGATAAGGACATTTGGGTGCCACTGTTGTTTTTTACCAGTTATTTTTCCTGATCTTAGCTGTGGGAAACACGACATGTGTCCTTAAATTGCCTGATCTGCCACATGCTTTTCAGGTTATTCCACATGAACACTAAATGTGCAATCATATTTTATCCATCTCGCTTGAAAACTGCTTGAAAGATCTGACTCTGATGGCGGTCCTGGTAACAGTCGATAAAACTGTCACAACAAATCATATTCAGTTCTCCTTTTCACTTGCCTAATTATAAACTTTGACTAGATTTTCATTTGTCTAACTATGGCGCCTGTGATTTATGGTAACAAGTTCAAAACAAGCACAGAAACAACACGTTACTGGTATGCACTGGATTATACAAGGAAGGAAATCCAGTTGCAACCTCATTCACTGCAGTATCAGCAATGAAATCATTTCTAACTTCTTTACTATCTCTGACTTCTCAGAAATAATTGTTACAGCTTTGCAGTTAGCCTTATGAACAGAGAGATTTGTATTTAGTAATGCAGTCTTCTTCACTGATGTCAATTATAGCTAGTGTTAATTACAATTGACATTAATCAATATTCAAAACCCACTTAAACTTACATTTTAAACTCCTAGCTTATGCTGACACTAATTAGTGTTGATCTGGTTTTATGTCTACAAATATAATGCATAAATCATATTTTATATATCCAGATATATTGAATTTTATATCTTGTAATTTCAAGTGGTCAGTACAATTTAGATATTGAAGTGCAGCGCATCTGACAGCACTAAATTGGGGAAGGCTGAATAGAATAATAATAGAAAAGTAAAGAATAGTTGGAAGGGACCTTGGAGGTCTTCTAGTCCAATTCTCTGCTCAGGCAGGAAACCCTATACCATTTCAGACAAATGGTTGTCCAATCTTTTCTTTAAAACTCCCAGTGTTGGAGAAGTCGTTCCACTGATTAATTGTTCTAAGTGTCAGAAAATTTCTTCTTAGTTCTAGGTTGTTTCTCTCCTTGATTAGTTTCCATGCATAGCTTCTTGTCCTGCCCTCAGGTGCTTTGGAGAATAGCATCACTCTCCTTCTTTGTGGCAACCCCGGAGATATTGGAACATTGCTATTATGTCACCCCTATTCCTTCTTTTCATTAAACATTTCAGCTAAACTATACAAATCAAAGGCAAACTAAACTATATAGGAAAAACTCTTTCAAGAGAGGGGGAAAGAGTTGGGAATAGACATTTTTCAAGTTCAAAGATATGTTCCCAATCTACAAGTTTGCTGAAAACACATGCCTTAGGGTTCTCTGAAGGTGTCATTTATTTTTA